CTCCATCAATCCATCCACTCTCACTCCTCACCCTGCTCGTGCTCCCTCCCCTCCTCCATCCTCCATCCTCCTCCTCCTCCTCCTCCTCCTCCTCCTCCTCCTCCTCCTCCTCCTCCTCCTCCTCCTCCTCCTCCTCGTCCTCCTCCTCCCTCCTCCTCCTCCTCCTCCTCCATCCTCCTCCTGCTGCCCCTCCTCCTGCTGCCCCTCCTCCTGCTCCCCCTCCTCCTGCTCCCCCTCCTCCCTCCTCCTCGTCACCGCCGAGCACCCACCACTGCCGCCACCACCAATCGACGACGCAAGCGCCGCATAGACCGACGGAGCGCGCGCGCGCGCGCGCGCGAGCAGGCGGCGGCACGCCGCCGCAGCTGGCCGCGCAGGGGGGGCGGAAGCCGCCGCCGACCTGGAGGTTTCGCCCCCGTTGGGCTCGAAGGAGGGAAGAAGAATACACGCCGGTCGTTGAGAGTGTCTTGGCTCCCAGGTCCCAGCTGACTTCGAGGGCCCGGCGACCTCAGCAGTCGGCATGTCTCTGGCTGCTGCTGCTGCTGCTGTTCGCTGTTCTCCGGGCGGGCCCGGGCCCAATCTGCGTCATCCGCCGTCCTGCTTCGTGTTTCCGCTGCTTCTTCCGACTGGCGGGTAACCAGCAGAAACATGAATGTTCGGAGCTCTGCGTGGATGCGGGGCCGCCAAGAATCGACTCAGGCTGAAAAGCAGGTCCCAGGGAAAGGGCCGGCTGGCCAAGCCGGGCAAGAAGTGCGACCCTCTCGCCGAGCTGCACAAGAGTGCGAACTGGCGGCAGCTCGGCAAAGGGCTCCACCCGATCAGGAAACGGGTCACAGTCGAGCTTTCCTCTTTTTGCCCACTCTGAATACGCCACTGACTGTGAACCCTTTGTTTTTATTCCAGATTAGAATGTATGTTTCGTTGTTTTATATGTATATGAATACATATATGAATACATATATGTATATACATATATATATATATACATAGGATTTCCAGAGACCGCGCAAGGACAAAGACATAACATCGCATGTTTGGGGGCCGTTGGCCTGCAGAGGCCGAGTCCTCGCAGGGCCCACTTTCGATCCGGCCCGCCCATCGCCGAGGTTCGGGGGGCAAGACCCGGCGTACACGCCGGCCGTTGAAAGTAGTAATTTCTGGATTCCCAGATCCCAATCTATTTCAAGCGCCTTCCTACTTCAAGAATCGGCATGATTTTGCCGTGTTTTGTTGCTCTCTGGGAGGGCCTGGACCCAATTCACTTTATCCGCCTTCCTACTTCTTGTTTCTACCTACTCTTCCGACCGACGTGTAAACATAAATTTAGGGAGTCGGGGCTCAAGAGACGGGGGCCGAGGCAAACGGGGGCCCGTCAGAGCGCCAGATCTTGCAGGATCCTGCTGAGTCAGGGTTGCACTGACCCAGGCATGGGCGCGGAATCCTGCAGGATCCTGCAAGGCCTGACTGGCCCAGGTTTGGATTGACCCGGGTCAGTAGGTGCCCGAGGGAGGTCCGCGCGGATTTTCTGGATCGGCGCTGGGCCCTCCCGGCGCAGCCCCTGGCGCGCGGAGCACGCCAGAGAGAGGGGGTCCAGCGCCGATCCAGCAAGTGCGCGCGGAGTTCCGACAGTTCACGTTTGTGTTCCGACCGAAGAGAAGAAGACAGCAGCGGGCGCGTCAAATAACAAACCGGCCCCCCACGGAATCCGCACATCCCCTGATAGCCTCGGGGGGCCCACAGGGACCCCAGGGGCACTTCAGGGGCGCTCCAAGCCGGACGACACCCCTGGGGCACCTCAGGGGCGCTCCAAGCCCGACGACAAACGTGCCCCTCGACGTCTCATCGCAAGAGATCTGGTTCCACGTGTCTACCGACTTGTACGATCGAAAATCGTCGGAGGTCCGCGCAGACGTTTTGGATTGGCGCTGGACCCACCCGTGCTGCGTTTCTAGCGCCGCCCCCCGGCGCGCTCCGCCTGCCGGGGATGGGGGGGGGGGGCAGCGCCGCTCTAAGAAATCCGCACGGACCTCCGGAAGTGTGTGCTCGTGCACTTTGCTCTCGGTATCCATGCGTTCCTTCTTCGGGTTTCCTCGATGAAGGGGGGGACGAAGGAAGAGGGGGCGCTACGAAGGACACAAATGTCCCGAGGGGGCAAGGCCATGAGGCTCATCTCCAACCCTTCCCAGGGGCCGTAAAAAAGATTTCAGCGATGAAATGCTCGTCCTGGAGAAACTCCCGGGTTCAGGACCATTTGTCTTAAGGACCCCTGGCCCTCACCGCAAGGGAAGGAGAAAGGAGGTGGAGGTTCGGGGATGCTCCCCACAGGGCGATTGTGATGCCGTCGTGGGTAAGGGCGGGGGAGGTCCCTGCGCCGCTCTAGGAGTTAATGTGCCGCTCTGGGAGCTTCCACGAGGAGGAGGAGGAGGAGGAGGAGGAGGAGGAGGGAGGAGGAGGAGGAGGAGAAGCAGCAGGGGAAGGAAGAAGGAGGGGGACGGAGGGAGGAGGAGGAGGAGGAGGAGGAGGGAGGAGGAGGAGGCGCAGGGGCAGGCGCAGGCGGAGGCAGAGGAGGGAGAGGGGCGATGGAGGAGGAGAATGAAGGATGAGGTTCGAGAGAGGACGAAAAGAAGGCCTTCCTCCTAAAGTGTCCCTGGCTCCATACGTCATTCCTGTCTCTACTCCAACGTCCCAGTCCTCCCTCTCTCCTACTTCCTCCCCCACCTCACCCCCTTCCTCCTTGGCTGCTGCCATCCAGCCGTCCTCCCGAGCCGTACTTTCTTTCTCCTCCGTGCATTCCTCCGTCGACCCCCCCTCCGTCCCCACGTCCTTTTCCTCCTCTTCCTCCTCCTCCTCCTCCTCCTCCTCCTCCTCCTCCTCCTCCTCCTCCTCCTTCCTCTCCTCCTCCGCCTCCTCCTCCTCCTCCTCCTCCTCCTCCTCCTCCTCCTCCTCCTCCCCCTCGTCCTCCTCCTCCTTTTCCTCCTCCTCGTCCATCTCTTTTCCTAGTACATCGGTCCTCCCTGTCGCACTCCCAGATATGTCAGTAGAGTGGGTTGGGCGTTTCGCGTGATCCTGAAGCTTGAGAATCGCAACACCTTCACGGATGGATGTGGGTTCCAAATTATGGTTATCGTTTTAGCGCCGTGCACATTCGTTTCAAAAGCTTGCGGCAGTTCCACGGATGCGGCACAGGTTGTTTTCAAAGTGTAGCTCTAGCCTTAGCACCACGAACAGTCGTGCTAAAAGTTTGCGACAGCTTCACGGATGGAAGGCAGTTCTTTGTTCAAAATGTGGTTATCTTCCGAACGCAGCGCGCATTCGTTTTAAACATGTGCAACAGCTAGAGCTTCACGGATGGAGGGGCGGCCGTTGTCAAGATGTAGGTTTCGCCGTCGCCTTTGCGCATTCGTCTTAGAAGAAGCTGAACGCGTTTGAGGATCGATGGCGATTCCGTGCCGTTATGGCGCTTTCTTTCCACAGCGCCGCGCACATTCGCCTCAAAAGTTCGCAACCGCTTCACGGATAGAGGGCGGTTCCTTCTCAAAATGTGGTTCTCCCAGTTGCGCCGCGCACACTCGTCGTGAAAGTTTGGGACAGCTTTGCGGATGGAGGACGGTTCTTTTTGAACGTGTGGTTCTCGCCTTAACGGCGCGCACACTCACTTGGCGCATTTGCAAGAGTTCCACAGCTGGCGTGGAGCGTTTTCAAAATGAGGTTCCCGCCGTAAGGCCGCGAATGCTCGTTTTAAACGTGTGAAGCAGTTTCATGGATGGAGGGGGAGTGATTTTGAAAATGTTGTCATCACCGTAACGTCACGCACATTCGTCTTGCAAGTGTGCCCTAGCTTGGTGGATGGAGGGTGCTTCCGTTTCCATGTGTGGCTCTCGATTGGGCGTTGCGAATAGTTGTTCAAACATGTTGCCACAGTCTTCAAGGATGCAGCGTTGTTCGTTTTCCAGGTGTGGCTCTTGCCGCAGCGCTGCGCGCAGTCTTTTTCCCCAACCATCTTATGGTGTCGGCTCCTCGTTTTGAAGAGACAGCGCCCCGCACCTCCCTCGCTCCTTCATTATCCCCCTCCTCTGTCCTTCCCTTTCCGTCCCTGCCTCTGCCCTCTGCGTGTCTTCGTCCTCATCACCATCATCATCAGCATCAGCATCAGCATCAGCATCATCAGCATCGTCATCATCATCAGTAGCAGCATCATCATCGGCATCATCGTCACCATCATCATCCTCATCAGCATCATCATCATTATCACAATCATCACCCATCTCGGCACAGCCCTCACACGTTCCGAGGCCCCATTCGGAGCTCCACCGAGGGCCCCAGTGGCTGCGTCCACATGCGTCCCGCGCCAATTTCGGCGCACCCCTCACACGTTTCGTGGCCCCATAGGGAGCCCCAACCTAAGGCACCAGCGGTTGCGTACACGTGGGTCCCGCGCCCATTTCGGCACACCTCTCACGCGGTCGTGACCCCATACAGTCGGGCCGCTGAATAAGGAACCCTTCTCGTTGGGGATGGGCTCAGTGTTCCTTAATTGTGTTGTTTTTGTTCTAGGTGTTCCTTCGGTTTTCCATGGGCGATCGAAGTTCAACTTGTGGAAAAAATGGGCCTCGTTCCTTATTTAGGGTTCCTTGTGGCAGCAGTTCGACTGTAGGGAGCTCCACCGAAGGCCCAGTGGCTGCGTGCACATGCGTCCAGCGCCCATTTCGGCACACCCCTCACACGCTTCGTGGCCCCATAGGGAGCCCCAACCGAAGGCTCGAGTGGCTGCGTCTGCGCGCGTCCCGCGCCCATCTCGGCATAGCTCTCGCACGGTTCGTGGCCCCAGAGGGAGCTCCATCGAAGGCCCCAGTGGTTCCCGCAGCCATTTTGCCTCAAATCGTTACCCCTCTGCCGCGCTCGTTTTGGGCCCCGCGGGAGGCCGCTGAGTTTCGACAGCTCGGGACATGGTTGCGGTCGGTGGCCGAGTCGCCCTCGCGGCGGCCGTGCTGCCCCAACAGGCTGGAGCGCCCTCGGCGTTCCTCTGGCCAGCGCGCCGGGCCCGCAGGGCCATGGCGCGCGCTGCTGACCGTGGGAGGCTGGAGGCTGCACTGGCGCAAGTCGCTTTCCTCGAGAACGAGCTCGCTGCCCGGGAGGCCAGCCACGCGGCGGCTCTGCAGCTGTCCCGCGACCACGGCTCCCTCGACCCCCAGCCCGACGTGCAGCTCCTCGGCGAGATCACGGCGCGGCTGGCGATGGCAGTCCCCGTGCTCTAGAGGACCTTCCGGGCCAGCAGCGCGCGCGGCCCCCCGCCTCCGAACCCCCTCCTCCGGCGGCCCGCGTCGGAGGTGCCGAGGGAGCGCAGCACGGCGACGCGGCGCTGCCGGCAGCCCACAGACGCCTCCCTGGGCATGCCCTCCGTCGGCGTGCCAGGCGCAGAGGCGGGCACTGGTGCGAGTGTGGCTGCTGCCGCACCCGCGCACGAGCAGAGCGACGAGCAGTCAGGCGGAGGCGGGGGTTCCATTGCGCCGCGAGGGGGGCCGCGAGCACCATCGCGATGCGGCAGGACTTCCTCAACCGGCTGCAGCGGGCGGCCCGGGCGCCAGGCCGCCGCCGCAGCACCAGGCGGCCCGTCCTCGTGCCGCCTCGGCCGCACCGCCGCCAGGCCTCGGTTCGCACGGCAGCCGAGGCGGCTCCTGGCGACTGGACGGTGGCAGGGCGCCCACGCGGAGCAACGGTGCCCGCTGGAGCAAGGCTCGCCTTGGCTGAGCGCGTCCGAGGCGGGGGACCTCCTTCTGATCCCCCCCTTGGGCACGGCCCCATCTGGTGGACATCTGACTTGGAGTTGGCGGGGAGGGGCCTCTCCCCTCCCGCCCCTGGCGATGGTCCGCTTGTCAGTCAGCAGGAGTGGGAGGTGTCGCAGCACGTGGGCTCGGAACACCCAGTGCTGGACGCCGAACCCGTCGCCGAGCCCGACGAGCCGCCCCTCCTCTCAAACTTCGGCTCGAACTGCCGTTGGTGTACCTCGAGGGACTTGCCAGCGCTTCGGCCGACCGTTCGCGGTGAGCACATGTGGGCTGCCACCTTCTCCTAACGTGATATCGTTAATTGCAGTGCTTGTGCAGCGTGCTGTGAATGTTGTGGTTTTCTTATCGCGTGAGCTTGGCTTTTGAGCAATGCTAGTCTCGCTTAACTGCAGCTGGCACCAGAAGCCACGCCGTTGGCTGACAAGGCCAGCGACGCCTTCGGCAATCGGGCTTTCTTCGAGGGAGTGGCTTCGGTGGTCTCTCCGTTTTTGCGGGAGGCACGGCTTCGCTGATAGCGCGCTGTGCTGTCTCAGGTGACGCCGCACACCTCCGCTCCCAGGGAGTGGCTTCGGTGGTCTTCCCTCGGCTTGAGGGAGGCACGGCCTTGGGGATGGCGCGGGCTGTGCTGTCCCACGTGACGCCGCACACCTGCCACGGAGCCCGGCCCTCTCGCTTTCCCCTTTCATTGCAGAGGCGCGAGAGAATGACCAGCCAGCACGAGGGCCTCCAGCTGGCGTTGGGTGCGTGGCCGTGCGTGGCTTTCAGGGCGAGGTGAGGGGTTCTGCTCGGGCGGCGGCACGTTGGCCCCTTGACTCGCTCGCTCCTTTGCCACTCGGAGCTCCGCTTGTTAGGGTTTCGCCTGCCGCCTGCGCCCTCGGCGACCGCCGCTGCGCGGTTGTTTGGACCTGAGCTCGTGCCGCGCGAGCCTGTCCCACCGCTGAAAAAAAAAGGCCGCAGTGGTTGCGTCCACATGCGTCCCGCGCCCATCTCGGCACAGCCCCACAAAGTTCGTGCCCCCGTAGGGAGCTCCACCGAAGGCCCCAGCGGTCGCGTCCACATGCGTCCCGCGCCCACTGCGGCACACCACTCAAACGGTTTGTGGCCCCACGGGGAGCTCCACCGAAGGCCCCATCGGTTGCGTAGACATGCCTTCCGCTTTCATGTCGGCACACCCCTCACACATTTCGTGGCCCCGTGTGGAAGTTCCACCGAAGGCCCCAGCGGTTGTGCCCACATGCGTCCCGCGCCCATGTCGGCATACACTTCAAACGGTTCGTGGCACCATAGGGAGCTCCACCGAAGGCCACAGTGGTCGCGTCCATTTGCGCCCCGCACCCATCCCGGCAGACCCCATCACACGCTTCGTGGCCCCACATGGAGCTCAACCGAAGGCCCCTTGTGGCTGCGTCCACATGCGTCCTGCGCCCATCTCGGCACAGCCCTCGCACGCTTCGTGGCCCCATAGGGAGCTCAACGGAAGGCCCCAGCGGCTGCGCCCACATGCGTCCCGCGCTTTGTTGTCGGCACACACACACGCACGCACGCACGCACGCACGCACGCACGCACACACACACACACACACACACACACACACACACACACACACACACGCGCACACACAGACACAGACACAGACACACACATACACATACACAGAAACATAAACATACACATACGTATTCACTACACATACACATACACGTACACGTGCACGTACACATACACATTCACATACACACACATACACATATACATACACGTACACAAACAAATACACATACAAATACATTATCCCAGTGCGACCCTACCTAGGAGTTGGAACCCCTAGGAAAGCAGCATTAGTAGTAACAGCAACGCTAAGCTAAAGCTAAGCTAAAGCTAAGCCACAGCTAAGCTAAAGCTAAGCTAAAGCTAAGCTAAAGTTAAACTAAAGCTAAGCTAAAGCTAAGCTAAAGCTAAGCTACAGCTAAGCTAAAGATAAGGTAAAGCTAAGCTAAAGCTAAACTAAAGCTAAGCTAAAGCTAAGCTAAAGCTAAGCTACAGCTAAGCTCAAGCTAAGCTAAAGCTAAGCTAAAGCTAAGCTACACGCTAAGCGAAAAGCTAAGCGAAACGCTAAGCTAAAGCTAAGCTACAGCTAAGCTAAAGCTAAGCTAAAGCCAAAGCTAAAGCTCCCAGGGGACTGGGGGGAACCGCTCCCAGGGGACTGGGGGAACCGCCCGGGGCGCTTTCCACTGCCCGGCCCCTTTAAGCTAGAGAGTAAGAACCCTTCTAGGCAGAGCCTAGGTAGGGAATATGCACATACACATGCACAACCACATACAAATACACATACACACACACACACACACACACACACACACACACACACGCGCGCACGCACACCTCACAAGGTTCGTGGCCCCGTAGGGAGCTCCACCGAAGTCCCCAGCGGTTGTGTCCCCATGCGTGCCGCGCATTCTTCGGCACACCCTCACACGTTTCGTTGCCCTACAGGGAGCCCTGCCGAAGGCCCAGGTGGTTGCGTTCACACGCGTCCAACGCCAATTGCGGCACACCCCTCACGCAATTCGTGGCCCCATGGAGGTTTCCACCGAAGGCCACAGCGGTTGCGTACACATGACTCCCCGTCAAGTTCGTTTTCCAAGTGTGGTTTTTGCCGCAGCGCTGGGCGCATTCTTTTTTCCCAACCATTTTGTGGTGAAGGGTCCTAGTTTTGAAGAGACAGCGCCCCGCACCTCACTCACTCCGTCATTATCCCCCTCATCTGTCCTTCCCTTTCTGTCCCTGCCTCTGCCCTCCGCGTGTATTCGTCCTCGTCACCATCATCATCAGCAGCATCATTCGCATCATCATCGTCATCATCATCAGCAGCAACATCATCATCATCATCATCATCATCATCATCATCATCATCATCATCATCATCATCATCATCATCACGATCATGTCCCATCTCGGCACAGCCCTCACACGTTCCGTGGCCCCATTCGGAGTTCCACCGAAGGCCCCAGTGGCTGCGTCCACATGCGTCCTGCACCAATTTCGGCGCACCCCTCACACGCTTCGTGGCCCCATAGGGAGCCCCAACCAAAGGCACCAACGGTTGCGTACACGTGCATCCCGCGCCCATTTCGGAACACCGCTCACGCGGTCGTGACCCCATAGGGAGCTCCACCGAAGGCCCAGTGGCTGCGTCCACATGCATCCAGCGCCCATTTCGGCACACCCCTCACACAATTCGTGGCCCCATGGAGAGCTCCACCGAGGGCCACAGTGGTTGCGTACACATGACTCCCCGTCAATTTCGGCACAACATTCACATGGTCCGTGGCCCCATATGTATTTCTACAGAAGGCCACCGCGGCTGCCTACACATGCATCCCGCGCCCATGTCGGCACACTTCTTATACGCTTCGTGGCCCAATAGAGAGTCCCGCCGAAGGCCCCGGTGGCACGGTTCGGACGCCGCCCCCCCCCCCCCCCCCACGTTGGCACGCCATTCACACGTTTCGCGGCCCCATTGGGAGCTCCACCGGAGGCCCCTTGCGGCGACGTTCGCATGCCGCCCCCACCCCGCCATTACGGCGGCACACATCCCACACGCTGCGTGGCCCCATATGGGGCCCCAGCCGAAGGCCCCAGCGGCATGGTTCGCATGCCGCCCCCCTTCCACCCCCCAACCCCACCACACCCCTCCACAATGCCACACCCGTCGCACGTTTCGTGGCCCATGGGGAGCTCCACCGAGAGCCCCACTGGCATGGTTCGCATGCCGCCCCTCCCTTCCACGTTGGCACACCCTTCACACGGTCCGTGGCCCCATGTGAAGCTCCACCGAAGACCCAGTGGCAACGTTCGCGTGCCGCCACCCGCCCAATGCGGCATGCTGCTCACACGCTTCGTGGCCCAATAGGGAGATTCATCGAAGGCCCAAGTGGCACGGTTCGCATGCCGCCCTTCCTCCATGGTAGCGCACCCCTCACACGTTCGTTGCCCCATGGGGAGCCCCCCCGAGCACTCAAGTGGCTTGGTTCGCATGCCGCCCCCCCCCCCATCAGCTTTGGCACGCCCCTCACACGCTTCGTGGCCCCATAGGGAGCCCCACCCAGGGCCCAGTGGCGGTGTTAGCATGCGCTTCCCCCACCCAGCACAGCGTTCCGTGGCCCCACAAGGAGCTCCACCGAAGGCACCCGCCAGTGGCGGCGTTAGCATGCGCCTCCCCCACCCAGTACAGCGTTTCATGGCCCCACAAGGGGTGCTCCAACGAAGGCCCCAGTGGCGGCGTTCGCATGCGTCTCCCCCACCCAGCACAGCGTTTTGTGGCCGACCCTACAGGGAGCCCCACTGAAGGCAACTGCGGCAGTGTTCGCATGCGTTTCCCCCAGCCAGTACAGCGCTTCGTGGCAACATAGGGAACTCCACCGAAGGTGCTGGTGGCCGTGTTCGCTTGCGTTTCCCTCACACAGTACGACGTTATGTGGCCCGCGGGGGGGCTCCACCAAAGGCCTCAGTGGTTGTGCTCGCATACGTTTCCCCCCACAGTACAGCGCTCCGTGCCCCACTGGGAGCTTCACCGAGGGCCCAGTGGCGGTCGTATGCGCTTCCCCGCCCAGCACAGCGCTCCGTGGCCCCTTAGGGAACTCCACCGAAGGGCTCAGCGGCGGCGTTCGCATGCGCCCCCCCGACCCAGCACAGCGCTCCGCGGTCACATAGGAAGCCAAACCGAAGGCCCCAGTGGCAGTGGTTGCTCGCGTTTCCACCACCCAGAACAGCGCTTCGTGGCCCCACGGGAAGCTCAACCCAAGGCCTCAGCGGCGGTATTTGCATGACCCCCCCCCCAGTACAGCGCGTTGGGGGCCCATTGGGAGCTCCAGCGCGTCGTGGCCCCACAGGGAGCTTCACCGAGGGCCCAGTGGCGGTGTTCGCATGCGCTCCAACCGCCCAGCACTGCGCCCCATGGCCCCGCAGGAGGCCAAACCGAAGGCCCCAGTGGCAGTGGTTGCTCGCGCTTCCCCCGCCCAGAACAGCGCTTCGTGGTCCCATCGGAAGCCCCACCGAAGGCCTCAGTGGCGGTATTTGCATGGCCCCCCCTCCCCAGTACAGCGCGTTGGGGTGCCATCGGGGGCTCCACCGAAGGCCCCAGCGTTGGTATTCGCATGCGTTTCCCCCACCCAGTACAACGCGTCGTGGCCCCACAGAGAGCCCCACCGAGTGCCCAGTGGCGGTGTCCGCATGCGTTCTAACCGCCCAGTGCAGCGTGTCGTGGCCCCAGCGCCCCACCGAAAGCACCACTGGATTTGGTTGTTTGCATGTCCGCCACCCAAAACAATAGCGTGCCCCACTGGAAGCCCCACCGACTGCCCCAGTGTCGGTGTTAGCTTGCGTCCTCCCCCCCCCCGCCCAGTACAGCGTTTCGTGGCCCCAACAAGGGGTGCTCCAACGAAGGCCCAAGTGGCGGTGTTCGCATGCGTCTCCCCACCCAGCACAGCGCTGCGTGGCCCCATTCGGAACCCCGCTGGCAGCGTCAGCGGCGAGGGAGCCCCACTGTTGGCGCCAGTGGCTGTGTTCGCATGCGTCCCCCCGCCCCCCCCCCACCCCCACCCCACCCCACCCCATTCAGTACAGCGCACCGTGGCCCCATAGGGAATCCAACCGAAGGCCCCAGTGGTAGTGGTTGTCAGCGCCTCGTGGCATCATAGGGAGCTCAACCAAAGGCCTCAGTGGCGGTGCTCGCATGCGCCCCACCCACCCAGCACAGCGTTGTAATTCCCCATGGGGAGCTCCACCGAAGGCCACAGTGGCGGTGTTCGCAGGCGTCTCCCCCGTTCAGTACAGCGCTTCGCGGCGCCCAAAATGACCTCGACCGAGGGCCCCAGTGGCGACGTTCACATGGCGGCCCCGCTCCATTTCTGCACACGCCTCACACGTTTCGTGGCCCCATATGGAGCGCCACCGAAGGCCCCAATGGCTGTGCCCGCGTGCGTCCCCGCCCCTTGTCGGCACGCCTTTTTACACGCTTCGTGGCCACATAAAGAAATCCACCGAAGGCGATACCCACGACGGTAATATTCACAACTGCATGATAATGAAAAAGTCCAAGGGCTACTTGAACACAATGCCAAAGATTACCGCGAAGCTCGAGCCCATCTTGAAATCGTGGAAAACGATGACAAGGGGGACGACATACCATTAGCACCGCAATCAGCCAGGTGATCAGCACGGTCATTTAGTACGGCACCGTTGTGAGAAACAACCTTGGTCCACGTAATATGATGATCGATGCTGTCAAGGATCTGCCGCGTCCTCAAGACAAGAGTCAAGTTGCGACGATCACGGGCGTGTCTGCGAACAACGTCTGCAGCATATTGAGAATCAAACTCAACAACAAATGATGAAAGATGTACGGATTGAAGACGATGACGAAGATCGATAGAGGATAGGCCGGCACGCCCGTCCAGACCGTTACGGGGGCCACTGGAATTTCCGAGCGCCGCCTTGTGATGTTGTAGGATAAGTTGTAAACAATGGTCTGAGTCAGGAGACAACAAGTCGCTGATGAAGTTGAGGGCAAAGTACAAAGACGTGATCTCCCCCACATTGTTGGAATGCCGTGTAGCACCAACGAAAGCATCATCATCACGGGCAAGGATTGTAGGACCACAGAAATCCAGCAGCTGGTCGTAAAAGGGGAGAGCCACCGTGAAGCCCCACCCAGACTTAGACTCGTCCCCGTTGAGAGTTGCACTGCCGTCACACGAGGCCACCACGTTAACCGGGTGCTGGAAAACCGTGCCGGGGAGTTGTGGTGGCAGGCTGGCCCCTCGCGGAAGGCCGTCGTCCATATCGTGCGCAATTGGTGCGATGACACGCTTGATGCGCCGTAGCGGAGGTAAGGCGCTCGCGTAGATGAAGTCGACAGGTTGCGAAACTGGCCGGTCCAAATCCAAGCGAACATGTCGATGGTGGCGCGCGTCCGCGCACGCCTGAGTAGCGATAGCGTTGACCCATAACAAATATTGTGAAACACATACAGCATGGTGAGGAGAAAGACCAGCAGGTAATCGAGAAGGGATAAGACCACAACGTGCGAGACAAGGAGGAAGACCATCCGGAAACTGGTTGCCAAGAGCCTGTTGGTCAAGCCAGGCGCGGGCCTCTTGATTACACGGACAGTGCCACAAACGGTGTTCAGTTGTCTCCACTGCTGTCCCGCAACGTACACAGAACTCGTCGCCATCGTGGTAGGCGATGCGTGAAACGTGTAGCCGGGTCCACAGAACTGCATATGCATATGGTTGGGCCCTCTCGCCAGGTCAATAGAAAACAAAGCTGCGCAGGATGCGATCTTTTGACCGAAAAATGTTGCCTCAGCCTTCGCTAAGTTTACAGAACCACAACTTCAACGCTCGCAGTGTTGCGCGGATACAGGACAGCTCTTTTTCAAAATAGAGCTGTTGTTTGACATTACCTCAAATGGCATGACCACAGGCGTACATTCATTCAACAGGGGCACGGATGGGGGTCGTTCCTTCTTCGAAAGGGGGATTTCGTTGGGCACCTCGCTGAGTGTGTTTATTATTGCTTTTCGCGTTCCTGATCCCGGGCCAGTGAGATGCAAGAGAAGTCATGTTCATGTTCAAAGCGGGGCCCTCGCCAAAATGGCAGGCCCAAGTGTGTTGGTCTTTTATTTCAACGGGGACGCCCCTTGTAGTGAAAAGGAGGACTTGTAGAGGCCTGTGAGAAAGGAATGGCTTGGGATGAAGGGGTGTATTGCATCATCGTGTACGCATGTGTTGTTTACTGTGGCTTTCCTCCTCCACCTCCTCATCATCATCATCAGCAGCAGCATCATCACCTCCTCCTCTCATCCCCCAATCCTCCTCCCCTCCTCCTCCTCTTCCTCCTCTTCCTCCTCCTCCTCCTCCGCCTCCTCCTCATCATCATCAGCATCATCATCATCATCATCATCATCATGATCATCATCATCATCATCATCATCATCATCATCATCATCATCATCATCATCATCATCATCATCATCATCATCATCATCATCGTCCCGATTACGGGGGCCATGGACATGTTTTAGTCGGTGCCGATTCCCAGCGCCCTGGCGCGTTTCTTCTCCATGCGTCCCCCACCCCAGCTGTCGGACACCACGCTCGAGGGCACAAAGCATGAGACGCTCCTCCTCCCCGCTCCCTCCCCTCCCTATCCTACCTCCTCCCCCCGCCCTCTCTCCCCTCCTCCCCTCCTCCTCCCCCCCCTCCTACTCCTCTCCGCCCTCAAGGCGGGGCCGCTCTTCGACACGCCGCCCCTGACCAGCAGCGGCGAGGCCCCGCCGGGAGCTGGCAAGGGGCAGCCTTTGGGGGGGGGGGGGGGGGCAGCCATCCGCGGGAGCGAGGGGAGGGCGGGAGGAGCGCTCGAGAGGTGCAGAGCTCCAACACGGTGAAGAAACCCGGGCGGACGTCTCTGTTGGTTCCCGAGGTCCTCGGACGGTTCCGTTGGCTCCTGGAGGTTTTCCAGCCTTGGGATGCCTTCCAGCGGCTGCGCCTCGCCGAGAGCATCCCAGCGGTGCCCGGATAGCCTCGAGCGGCCGCGAGAGACCCAAGTTGTGACTTCCAGCGTGTTACAAATTGCCCGGTGACGTACCCAACCCTTTCTAAACAGATGGCGACTATACCCAGGACCGCTCACTACCACCGAGCAGATTGAAGGACCCGCAGTGCGCATGGGCACCCAGAAGGGAAATCAGAAGATGGCGGCAGCGGGAGTACGGGAGGACCGGCTGGGTCTGGGTACACCTCCACTCCGCTGGACCTCCCAAGAGCCCGCGGAAGTGTCGGCAGTTGCGCACTTCCCAGCCTCCCAGGGAGCCGCGAGCTCTCGGCGAGGTGTGCGTGGCGCCCCACTCCGCCCCGCTGGCGCCAGGAGCCTACGAAAGTGGCGACTGTTGCACAGTTGCCAGCCCCCCAGGGAGCCCAGGGGTCTCGGCGAGGTGTGCGTGACACCCCGCTCCGTCTGCCCCCCAGGAGCCCACGAAAGTGGCAACAGCTTCCCACGTCGCAGCCCCCCAGCCCCCCAGGGAGCCGCGAGGTCCCAACTGGGTCCCCATACAACTCCATCCCGCTGGACCTCACAGGAGCCTACGAAAGTGGCGACAAATTCACACTTCGCAGCCCCCCAGAGCCCGCGAGGTCCCGACTGGATCCCCGTGCCCCCCAATCCCGCTGGACCTCCAAGGAGCCCACGAAAGTGGCGAAGGTTTCACACCTCAGAGCCCTCCAGGAAGCCGAGAGGTCCCCGTGTAACTCCACTCCGCGCGACCTCCCAGGAGCCCACGAGAGTGGCGACAGTTTCACACTGCGCAGCCCCCTAGGAAGCCGCGAGGTCCCAACTGGATCCCTTTACAACTTCACTCCGCTGGACCTTCCAGGAGCCCACGACAGTGGCGACAGTTTCACACTTCGCAGCGTCCCAGGGAGCCGCGAGGTCCCAACTGAATCCCCGTACAACTCCACTCCGCTGGACCTCCCAGGAGCCCACGACAGTGGCGAGGGTTTCACACGTCGCAGCCCCCCAGGCAGCCGCGAGGCCCCAACTGGATCCCCGCACAACTCCACTCCGCTGGACCTCCCAGGAGCCCACGAAAGTGGCAACACTAGTATCACACTTCGCAGCCCCCCAGGGAGCCGCGAGGTGCCAGCTGGATCCCCGTGCAGCTCCACTCCGCTGGACCTCCCAGGAGCCCACGAAAGTGGCGGCAGTTTCACACTTCGCAGCCCCCCAGTAAGCCGCGAGGTCCCAGCAAGATCCCCGTACAACTTCACTCCGCTGGACATCACAGGAGCACACCACAGTGGCGTGAGTTTCACACTTCGCAGCCCCCCAGGGAGCCGCGAGGCCCCAACTGGATCCCTTTACAATTTCACTCCGCTGGATCTCCCAGGAGCCCACGACAGTGGCGAAGGTTTCACACTTCGCAGCCCCCCAGGGAGCCGCGAGGTCCCAACTGGATCCCCGTACAAGTCCACTCAATTGGACCTCCCAGGAGCGGAGCCCACGACGGACAGTTTCACACTTCGCAGCGTCCCAGGAAGCCGCGAGGTCCCAACTGGATCCCCGTACAATTTCACTCCGCTGGACCTCTTAACAAGCCCACGAAAGTGGCGACAGTTTCACACTTCGCAGCCCCCCAGGGAGACGCGAGGTCCCAACAGGATCCCTGTACAACTTCACTCCGCTGGACCTCACAGAAGCCCGCGAAAGTGGCGAAATTCACACTTCGCAGTCCCCCAGGGAGCCGCGAGGTCCCACTTGGGTCTATGGGCCCCCTCATTCCAATGGAACTCCCAAGAGCCCACGAAAGTCGCAACAGTGTCACACCTCGCAGCCCCCCAGGGAGTCACGAGGTCCCAACTGGATCACCGTACAACTCCACTCCGCTATTCCTCCCAGGAGCCCACGAAAGTGGCAGAAAATTCACACTTCTCAGCCCCCCGGGGAGCCGTGAGGTCTCAACTGGATCCCCGTACAATTCCATTCCGCCGGACCTCCCAGGAGCCCACGAAAGCGGCGAGAGTTCCACACTTCGCAGCCCCCCAGAGAGCCGCGAGGTCCCAAAAGGATCCCCGTACAATTCCACCCCGCTGGACTTCCCAAAGGCCCACGAAAGCGGGGACACTTTCACATTTCGCAGCGCCCCAGGGAGCCATCCCCGTACAACTTCACTCCGCTGGACCTCCCAGGAGCCCACGAAGGACAGTTTCACACTTCGCAGCGTCCCGTTGAGCCGCGAGGTCCCAACTGGATCACCGTACAACTTCACTCCGCTGGACCTCCCAGGAGCCCACGAAAGTGGTGACAAATTCACACTTCGCAGCCCCCCAGGGAGCCGCGAGGTCCCAACTGTCCCCGTACAACTCCACTCAGTTGTTCCTCCCAGGAGCCCACGACAGCGGCGACAGTTTCACACTTCGAAGCGTCCCAGGGAGCTGCGAGGTCACAACGGGATCCCCGTGCAACTCTACTTCGCTTGACCTCCCAGGAGCCCACGACAGTGGCGACAGATTCAAACTTCGCAGCCCCCCAGGGAGCCGCGAGGTCCCAACTGTATCCCTTTACAATTCCACTCTGCTAGACCTCCCAGGAGCACACGAAGGTGGCAACGGTTTCACACTTCGCAGCCCCCCAAAGTGAGCCGCGAGGTCCCAACTGGATCCCCGTACAACTTCACTCCGCTGGACCTCCCAGCAGCCCACGAAAGTGGCGACAGTTTCACACGTCGCAGCCCCCCAGTAAGCCGCGAGGTCCCAGCAAGATCCCCGTACAACTTCACTCCGCTGGACATCACAGGAGCACACCACAGTGGCGTGAGTTTCACACTTCGCAGCCCCCCAGGGAGCCGCGAGGCCCCAACTGGATCCCCGTACAACTCCACCCTGCTGGACCTCTCAGGAGCCCACGACTGTGGCGACAGTTTCACACTTCGCAGCCCCCCAGGGAGCCGCGAGGCCCCAACTGGATCCCCGTGCAACTCCACCCCGCTGGACCTCCCAGGAGCCCACAACAGTAGCTACTGTTTCACACTTCGCAGCACCCCAGGGAGCCGCGAGGTCCCAACTGGATTCCCGTACAACCTCACTCAGCTGGACTTCCCAGGAGCCCACGACTTTGGCGACAGCAGTTTCACGCAAGTCGCGACATTTGACGGGCGGGTCGGTCGGGCAATCGGGGCGGGCAGGGCATTAAAGTTCGGGACCCTTCCGTACAGAACACAGTCACAAAATGTTTCATCGTGCGAGACCGTAACCACCCAGCTGACCCAGACGGACCCAGGACCAGGCCCACACGGACTCGCCCCGACCAGCACGGACCCACTCGGACCCAGACCCGGACGGCCCAAGGCAGAGCCCGTGCAGATCTGCACCCAGACCTGCACGGACCCAGGCGGAGCCAGAATCAGATCCACGGACGGCTACGCACGGAGCTTGCGCGGACCCGCACGGACCCACACGGAGCCCACACGGGCCTGAGAAATCTTGAGGACCCTTTCTCGGCGTTCCCGAGGAACCTTGCGGACGCCCGAGGGTCCCGCGGGAATGCTGAATACCTTGAGGAGGCCTGAGAAATCCCGAGGACTCCCGAGGAGTCCTGAGGATTCCTCAAGAATCTGGAGGAATCCCGAGGACCGCCCCTCCCCTGAGGACCCCTGAGGGATCCCGAGAAAGTCTGAGGCGCCCCCTCGGGAGTCCGGAGGAATCTGCAGGCATCGTCATAGGGGACCCCCCCCTGAGGAATCCCGAAGATCCCCCCGCAGGCGTCCTTCCTTTCGCTCGCAAACCACACACGAACCTCCGGCGTCTAGAACCCCAGTCCCCGCTGAGGAGGAGGGGGAGGAGGAGGAGGAGGAGGGGGAGGAGGAGGAGGAGGAGGAGGAGGAGGAGGAGGAGGAGGAGGAGGAGGAGGAGGAGGAGGAGGAGGAGGAGGAGGAGGAGGAGTCTTGGCCCCTTGGCCTGAGGGCAGCCTTCCGTCTCCCACATCCAGTCATGAGGCCGCCGGGTGTTCCGACGACGGGCCCCCCCGGAGCCCGAGAGCGAGAGAGAACAGAGTTGGACCGAGAGCAGCTGGAGAGAGCGCTTCCTCGAAGAAGAAGAAGAAGAAGAGAAGAAGAAGAAGAAGAACAACAAAAAAAAAACGCCATCGACATCCATGTTCGGCGCTCCGTGCGGATTTCTTGGATCTGCGCTGGGGCCCCCTGGCGGCGCCTGCGGCGCCGCCCCTGGCGCGCTCCGCGCGCCAGGGAGGGGGGCCCAGCGCGGATCCAAGAACTCTGCGCGGAGCGCCACAAGTTTAGCTCTATGGCGTCTGTTAGTCTTCTTCTTTGTTTTATTTTTTATCATTAGTATTATCATTATTAGTAGTATTAATGTTATTATTATTAGTATTATTGCTATGAATATTATTATTATGATTATTCTTATTAGTATTCTTATTATTATTAGTATTAGTCTTCTTCATATTCTTAGTCTTATTATTCTTCTTATTATTATTACTCTTATTGTTATTATTGTTCGTTGTCTTGTTCTTATGTTTGTTGATAGTCTTAGTATTATTATTATTATTCGTATTATTAGTATTCTTCTTCTTATTAGTATTGTTATTATTGTTCTTCTTCTAGGGTCGCCTCTCTCCTCGTCCGCGTTTGCCGCCCCTGTCGCCCCATCTCCCCCTCCCCCTACCCACTCCCCCGCCTCCTCCTCCTCCTCTTCCTCCTCCTCCTCCTCCTCCTCTCCTCCTCCTCCTCCTCCTCTCCTCCTCCTCCTCCTCCTCCTC